GCATAGTAAAAGCAGCACAGGGGACTCAGCACCTCTTCTGCTTCCGCTAGAATTTTGTCATGCAGCCTCAGTCTGGCTCAACTCCTACAATTCTATGATCCTGTGATCCTGTGTGAAAGAGAATACGAAAATAAAACAATGCCCCAACAGTAACATTCAGAAAAGGACCAAAGTAATGACTGTGTATACCTAGGCGGTAGCTCACCAAGAAACCATCTCCCTCGAGCTAGTACGTCCTGCAGTTCGTAGTCGCCTTTTGAATTGCCCATGGAAACAAACGACAAGGGGGTAGGAGAGGTAAATAGAGACATCTGTTCGTGTCCATTTCTAACCAACACAATCTCCTACTCAGCCGCGGGGGAGAGAGTGGATTCTGACAGTGAGTCAGAGCCAAAGGGAGGCGGATGAGAGGTGGCTTTGGTTTGGTCTAGGGAAGGAGGCGGCTGTGACTCAAACACTGCATACTGATGAGCTGGAGCAATCTCTCTATTTTCCCTCCTAATTTAAGGGGGCTTTGCTCCCAAACCACTCTGCTGAGGGCCGTGTGTTGTACACTGGCTACACTAAGCTAAAGGCTCTCCTACAAGGAGGTGAAAAGTGGGATCCCCCTCAGAGAGAACAAATCTCCAGAATGCTTAAACTTAATTTTCTTCCCACTCCTTTGCCTTTCTCTTCAACAATATCGTTCAGTTGTGGAAGACACAGAAGCTCTGATTTAGAAACTGAAAAAAGAACTCGCCAACCTCAATCATAAGATGTAATAAAATATGCGTTATATACAGTATCAAGGTGAAACTTATACATAGATGTGAGAGAAAGAAGTACTGATGGCAAAATTTGGTGCTACGTGCACTAGTCAATAAATGAGAACACACAGGAATACAATGTTCACATAACTGATTTGCGTTTCTAGGGTAACAGTTCATGGGATAATACAACTTTCATTTGCTTGGGGTGGCAATGGATAACTTTGCTACAAACCTACTCTTGTAAGCAGAGTACAGTAGCAGAATATAATCACTGTGCTGTGTAAAGAGAATTCAGAGTACCCACTGGTGCCTTTTAAGAATTTGTTTGTCATTTCTGAAAGCTCTGTTTTTGTTTTGGTCCACTAGTGTCTAATTACAAATATTTCCTCAAATAGTTCTAAAACGCACTTGTTATTTTGATCCTATTAGTGGGAGATGATTTACAAATTTATCTGAACAAACTGGCAGAAACCATTTGTTTCTGCTTCTAAGCTGACAACAATATTATTAACATCAGGGTATTACAAAATTAGTTTTCTTTATGCATTTGCTATAAACAGAGCTTTTACTAGGATGGTAGTGGACTGATACGCTTTCATTTTAAAATTAGCTAGAAAACAGACTGACATGCAGGAAAACTCACTCAGCTCACAAAAAAACCTTCTTTGCTATGCAGTGTAGAAGAAGTGTTTCCTTAACACTTATCTGCCCTGTGATTGATGGTTCTGATAGAGAAGCTGTAAGAGTGAAGCTTTACCGTGCCACTACTCATCAGACAGAAAAGGAAAATGAAGGCAAGTGCAATATTAATCACAAAGTAATATTCAAACAGTGTAAGGATGTTTGCAATGCATTCCTTATTCTGCTCTGCTGATATCAAAGTGAGTTTTGCCATGGCTCGAACAGCATTTCCTGTTCCCTGCAGGCACTCAGCACCATGAAGGATATAGTCCTTTTCAGTTCTGCATGGGAAATTCAGCATCAGCTACTTATGCAACAGAAACAGTATGACTGCCATGAATAATGAAATAATTTATGCTGAATCCGTCACAACTTCTTTGAAAGCTTCTCGCTGCTTTCTGCCGGTCATTATGTGGAGAGGTTCCAGCTCTTTCAGTCCACTCTGTCACTGCACCCTTGCCAACAGCAATCATTGTTTCAGTAACTGTCCTAATTCCCTCCCAGTACTCAACCTGTGCAGTGATAACAGCCTGTTCATCTAGCAGGCTGGGGAAAGCAAGCTCAGCTATTTGGGTAGCGTTTTCCGGATACTGAGAAGCAGCCCATAGGTGAATAAATTGATAGCACAGTTGGATCTAACTCACAAGCCACTTGTGTAGCTGTGGTCCCATGTCCTTTGACTGATTACCTTATGACTTCTGTACCACCATTTGTCCACTCTTTTCATTGCAAAAAGAGATTTTAAAGCAACTTTCAATCTTCAGAGGGCAGAAAGGCTTTCTAGAAGGATTTCTGAAAGCCTCTGAACAGTCTAGAAATGTATCATGGGGCTTTTATTCCACTGAAGAACTTGCCCCTAGTACATCAAAATACATCATCCATAGCTAAGAAAGTGATAGAAGATAGCAGCAGTCCGCCATCAGCAGGGAAATTATCAAATATGATGCTTTTTGACTGAATGCACATCTCGTATCGGTTTGTTACAGCCTCTCTTTAATGCTTCCAGAGCTGTACCTTCTGAACGCATGCTGTAAAAAGACAGGCGGTACTTTTACTGGATAAATTGCTTTTTTGCTTTCTGTGTTTTGTGTTAGAATTTTACTTAGCATATGAAAAGCTTTTAAATATATCTTACATAACACTGAATATCTGTATTAAAACATGAACTTCCTTTCCCTTGCATTTGTATGTGGATGCTTTTGTGTTTTTCTTGCACCACACTGCAGCTAGATCTTTTGTAACTTAAAGCTAAACCTAACAACACCATTCACTGCAGCAGCAAGATATTTTCCCCTGGAGTAGGATACAATGATGATGACATAATGCTGTGGTTTCCAAATCCCAAGCCAGCTGTTACTGGTATATGAATTCTAATTTACTGTCTCTGTGTGAGAGGCACAAAAGCTTGTGACTTGATTCAGTAAATGATTTATTATTTTGAATATATAATTCAGGGACATAGCTTACGCATGGCTTCACCCACAGAGTGATGAAAAGTAATTTAGGCAGTTTTCTACTGTAATAAACCAGAAAAAGGGTATAATTCCATTTGCCCAGACCCAGCAGGTAATTTCTGCCAAGTAGCATGGGATCTGCTCACTAATTCTGGATTGAAGGAACGATTAAAAGCTGCTTTTTTTTTTTTTTTAATTATTTCTTCTCTCTGACAGATATTCATTCTAATTCCTTCATCCGCTGCAAATGAACACAGCAGTGCATCATTCCCATAGCCTAAACTGCATTGAGCGACACTGTACCTATTCACGTAGTACTGGGTATATTGTACTGTAACTTTTAGTTGAATAAGGGTGGCAATAAACCTGCTGCCATGGTTATGGATGCTGCAAGAAGCTAGCTTTCTCCTTTGTTTGCTGATCTTGAATATTTGAGAATATTAACTAAATAAATGAAGGTCAGTTTTACAGTCATTTCTCAACAGCAAGTCTAAAAAAAGAATACCACGGAAGCAATGAGAGACCTGTGAGAAAGCTTTCTCCACTACAGTAAGTTGCTTTGATGGAGTATAAAATCCACCTCTCCATAAATCGCTAATTTGCAAGGCAGAGTCTGGCTACATTGGTAGCCTTACTTTAAATCCAGACTAAATCAGACCTCTTAAATTCTTAACCTAATCCCTGCCTTCTGTACTGTGTCATCATAGCAATTTGTTTCCACAGTAACGGTATTTATTTATTCAAAGTAAAACCAATGTGAATAAATGCCCTGAATTTTAGCAGGCAAAAATGCATCCCTAGTGTAACTCCATTATCTGAGCAGCGTTACGTCAGGGATGAATTTAACCTATTAAGTTTTGGCACAACACTATCAGTGAGGACAATATCTACGCAAGTCATGTTATCTTAATTTGTAGAATGACATTGAAATCACAGCATTTGTAAATAACTGTGTAATTATGTGAATCTTTCCTTAAACACACAGGCAGGCAGAGATCGTATCAAATATCCAAATCTTCCAAAATTCGAGGACTTCTCAATGAAAATCAAGGGACAATATTGGTCAGAGATATGCTGAATTCTTTAAAGGGGAGTTACAATCATGCACTGAATGTGAATCATGAGTCACTGGATTTTTTGCAGCCAAGTAATTGGTAATCAATCCATACAGGTTCAGTAGCATCAACCATTCATATCAAACAAATCTACAGAAGTCATGAAAGATCATTGCCAGTCCTAACTCTGTGACAGGCTGATTTATTAAGCTGAGAAATTGCCCTGATGTAAACAAAAAATTATCAGGTTAGCCTAGAACAGAAATACTTTAGAAAAATAAAATTGCTGTAGAGAGCTTATACAGATGTACCCTTCTTCTGTAGCTCTGCTTGTTTAACTAGGAAGACTATCAACATTTACTATAAAACTTGCAAAAGACAGAAAGAGAGGTTGGTAAGAAAACAAAACAAAGACAAACCAAGCCCAGCTGTTCCAAAATCCCTCTTCAGGAAATTATAACAATTTTACAAAGTCTAATTACATTTAAAAAAATGCAAAAAACATACAAATTTTAAAATTTTACAGATTCTAAAATGTAATCCAGGAAAGACAGCTTCAAAAGCTACTCCTGTGCCCACATGTAATGCTTTTCATAGATGGAGAGAGTTTTACTTGTTAAAACTTGGTCCATAGCACTAGGTCCCGTCTATTCTAGCTATTTACAGATTACAGATTAGAGGTGTTGAAGTGTTAGATTCCTTTTGGAAAATTCAGGCACCTGATCCACCTGAACATAACTGAGTGAAATGCTAACCTTCCTCTGAAAAAACACCAATTAAAATCAATTGCATTTCACAAATGTGAATGTGGAATAAACCTCTAAACACATATCTGATAAATAACCTTTCCCTCATTATGTGGAAATATTAAAGCAGTATGGATTTCAACATTGCTATAATGAATGATCAGTCATTTAGAAGTACAGCTTTAACATTTTGAATGAAGAAGTCTGAAACAAGACTTGTAAGAGCAAAGGAGATGACGATATAATTATTACTGTTGGTAGAGTAAGAACATAGCATTAATAAACAGTACTGTTGCAAAAAGTATGTACTCTCACCCAGATAGGAAACTCCTTCTTCTGGTGTGATTGTTCCATATTTAACCATCATCTTCACAAAATCAATCAGGGTTTTCATTATGGTTATCAAGGTCTCTTTCTCTTTCATCTCTGTCTCTGTGTGAGGGGATAAAGCAAAGGTAGTCAAAGACTTCAGCCAATTCAGAAAACTCAGTTCTGCAAACTGTTTGCAGAAACTTCATGCATTAAAAACAAAACAAAAACACTACAAGGAAGGCTGTGCTAGATTACCAAACAGAAATCCTATTTATGTTCCCCTTTAAACTGCTCCTGCAGAGTACATCTGAATATACTTTAAAACTTTGGGGTTTGTTTCTTCTTTACAGCTTTTTGTCTTGAAGATCTATGTTATAGAAATAAAATTGTATTAATTTCATTTTGTGGATAGGAAAGCACACTAAGATAAGTGACTTGACAAAGTTCAAAAAGCAGTGAGCACATATAGGCACAGTCTTCTACAATGTTTTTCTTTTATTTGTCAGTGAACTACTCAGTGGATTGATCTGGCTCTTTAACATGAAGATGGCTCAGAGACCCTTTGGATTTATTGGCAAGTGTCTCAAATGAGACTGTTAATAGGGCACAAGACCATGACTGAGGAACTGGGAAAAAATATAATATTACATGGTTGGGAGGATCATGACTCCAGAATAGGACATAAACAATGATTTTTATGATAAAAATCCACGTTTCTTGTCCATATGTATTGCTGAATATCCTCATAAGCAGTGATTCTTAGCTTTCTTTTTTCACTGCATTTATCTGCTGAGCACTATTACTGCCATGTCTGCATTAGCAGCATGAAACTCTACCACCACAGAGTTACGCAGGCTCTTCCTGCATCCCTGGTTGTCACAGGACCCAACAGAGCCAGGTGCAGTCTCAGACAGGGACAGTCAAAAACATACTCCCAGCCTTGGCAAAGGGCCAGCCCCTTTGGAGAGCTACTGAACAGGTTTTAATATTGCTCTCTGCAATTTAACACACATCTGTAGAATGCAATTGAATCTCCTCTCCTCCACCGTGATAAAAATTGGCAGGTGAATGGGATAAAGCAGGAGACAAGGCAGAGATGTGCCTTGTGGGACCTGATTCTGTTTGCTTGATTACCTGTTAAACCCCATATGCTGTTTTGCTTTGTGAATAGAAAAAGGAGAAAGAATAGCATTGAAAACTACCAAGCGAAAATTAAAAGAACAAGAAGAATATGAGGTTTCTAGCCTGGATTTCAGCAAAACATGCCCTCAGGTTTTTCATTCTGGTTCTCCACTAAAGTATTTATGGGGACGGTTTGAGGAAAGATTAAGGCTCCTGCAGGACAAGGAATCTACAGAATAAATTATTGCTGACTGTGCTGAAGACATGCTGGCTGCAGAGAGTAAGAGTGGGTGTGTGGCAGAGCATGCTGACAAAAAGGCTGTGGCGAGGTGCCACAATCTTGCTTTCACTAATTGGAAGGCAATAATGTCTAGCACCGGAATAGGAAGAGACGTGCAGAGCTTTCACTGCAATAAACAGCAAACCTGTGGTTTGTGAAAAGGCTGGGAGGCTCTGACTCGTTTACTGGTAGCATCATTATGAGGATTCTACTGATTCTACTTGCTCGTATCTCTGTTGGCTTAGAAGAAAAGGACATTACAGGAAAGGCCTCTGGAGAAAACAATTTTCCAGTTTTTCATCATGCCCATCAACAATGCAAAGAATTCAGGATTCCTGAATCATGTGGCCCAAGATTGGATGGGCAACCAAGGTCACAGCGTTTGCAGTTCTGAGTGGCATTCTTCCCAACGTTTTGTCATATTCACAAAAAGAAAAAATAAAAAAAATGAGTTTATGCTATGCATCTTGGAGAACATTTTTAAAGCAATTAGGGGAGCTGTGGAGAATGGAGGGGAAAAGAGTTGGAGCAAACAAAGAGTATAATTTTCTACTTTTTCCCTAAACATTCCTGTACACCCAAAATAAGCTCACCTGAATTTAGACTTTTTAATAGTGCATAGAAGTTTGGAAAGTATTGGAGGTCTTCAAAATTATCTTCAGAAGGCAGTTCATTTCTTCTTTCCAAGATACTGGATGATGACCATGTGTTATCCACTGTGTCATCAATTTCCCCGTTACTGAAACTATCCTGATCAGTCTTGCTTGATGTCTCCACAAAAGACATAAAAATAGATAAATCAATGAGCACATTGCGTTTGGCGATAGAGATAATTGAGCAATAGTATCATCATCTCACACCAATATTTTCCTATTTACCAAGTGAAAACTAGACTGTTTTTTCAAAGTTATTTCAGTTTGGAATCTAGCTTAAAATTCAGCATAATACACTATTAATTTTTCTGTCTTATGGAATTACTTTTAGAACATCTTTAGTTTCCAGATTGAACTATTTATTCCCTAAAGTGAAACAGTCTACTTGTACTGTTTACTGAATGAGTCAAAATTATTAGCTAAGAAATTACCATTTTTTCCTGTTGCTTTTCCTTTGTATCACTGTCTGCTCTGCTTGGAGGGTAATCAAAATCTTCAGACTCCTTCTCACGATCCTTTGCTTCATTTGCAATTAGCTGTTGTAAAACCTCTGCCACTTCATCTTCTAGGGTATAGGCCTGGCTCTCTGTGATCTGTTAAAATATTTGTTCAGAGTACTTATAGAATACTGTGGTTTTCTTAAAATGAATGCCATTATGAAACCTGAACTTTTTAAATAGTTTGCTTCAAAGCTGAGCATAGATAAATTGGGTGTAATACATTCACTGTTTTGTGTGTGTGTATACATGGAGAGAGATAGACACATAAAAAACACATACAAACACACATCAAATATGTGTGCATACCCCCCCACCCCCGTGTAGCCAATAGGAAAATATAACCCTGTAGGGCTTAACACAATGGGGTCCAGCTTGAAAGATGGAACAGCAAGTGCAGCGTAACTACAGATATATATATATATATACACGCACACATTTTCTTTAACAACATACGTATCTATGAGCAACTACAACAGAATACAGTAATATAGGGAGGAAAAACGCCAATAGCTTTCTGCAGCATCTTCAAAATGTTTTTTCTCTGCTTCGTAACAGCTGTCACTTGAATGACAAGTGTACTATGCAGCTGTCCCCACACACCTCCCTTTGTAATCAGTGGGATTCAGCATGCAATAGCTGATTGCAAATTCTAGTGCAGAAAAGATAAGACTAGTGTACTAAAATATAAGGATTCCATATTGCAATATCTCAACCATTGAGATATCCAGAGAACAGAGTAAAACCCAATCTTGTTACAATTCAGCAACAATGAGAAATGTATCCTCAGCCAATCAGCATCATTATATATCCTCTGACTATCGTAATTAGCAGGTGGACCAGGAATGAGCTCAGACCTTTCTCCATAAACGTCCAAAATTAATTGATAATTGTAAAGAACTACTTGAGAATCGTAAGAGGAAAATTAAAAGGAAAAAATGAGGGCTTATGTGGAGGAGCACAATCCACAAATGTTTTCTCCACATCAGGAACACTCTACAGTTTGGCATGTTTTGTTGCAAAGCTATCACAATAGCAATACTGTTGCAGACCTAAACTAATGTGCAGAAAGGAGTCAAGAAGCTTGCCTAGAGCCTGAATCTCATTAATTTTCTTTCAAGTCAGCATTATTCACTGGACACAGTGTTCATCCAAACTGTCTAAAAGAGCATTAAACCAACCCACAACACAGCTGAATGAAGTATTAACAAGATACTTACTAGCCCCAGACTTAGAAGTTTTGAAACGATCTTGTCAAACACTCCTCTATCATTTTCCTCATAGATTCGCGTAGCAATTTTTTGAACTATGTCTTCAGCAGTCAAAGGAGTGCCATCTAATTGATGAAGGCCATCTGGATCATCTAAAAGGATTACAGTTTAACTGTGTGCTAACTGTCCTAACTCATTTGGATTAGACATCTTGCAAAAATGTTTGCCTGTATCTTTTTCACTTCAGAACAAAGCTGTACTTTTAAATACAGGTTAGGAACATACTTTGATACACACTTTGCATGCATCAGTCACAATGAAACGTTCTTCATGTCTATTTTCTACAGATGAAAAATGTCTTTATAACAGGCTCTTTTCTAAGAGCAAGTACAAATGTCAGGAACATACTCTATTGCTCGTAGAAAAATTTGTAAGAATAAGAGAATATTGCTCACGTATCTGCTTATGTACCTCTTCCTGGTACTTGCCTTCATTGTATGGCTACTTAGAATAAAATATGTCATAACTAACAGCATATTATATTCTTGTTTGGATTTCATCAAATTAAGTTTTAATTATGTAATCTTTACTTATGTTAAATAATATCATTGTGACCACTGAGAATGTGAATATGATGAGTAAGCTTTGATCTGTGATCAGTATACTCTTATATAATTAAAAATATCCTGAGCTAAATGCTTCTTTCAACTCTCAGAGGACTCACTTAAACTACAAGTCAATTAACAACTCCTGTAGTAAAGGCAATTCTTTGTCTTTCAGTCACTTCTTTTCTTTTAGCTATGTGATAAGGAGAATCATCTAACAGGCATAACATTTGAAATAAATGTATGTGATTTATCTCTCTATAAAAGTACTTTTCCCTTTCAAACCAGAATAAATCACATTTTCATTTAAAAATATGTCCCATTTTCTTCCATCAAATCTAAAGCTCTAAAAAACATGATGCAAATTACGGTTGGATGTTCCTTCTACAGAAGATGAGTGTAATAATCAACAGTAGTAATTCTTTTGTATTGTGTTTCAAAACCTAATTGCAATATGACAAGCTTCTACAACTGGAAATAACCAAAATTGCACTGCAGGAACAAATACAGCTCATGTTTAGTGAGGAATGCAATATCCGTTATTACAATCAGTTTGCAAGAGAAGTCTAACCTAAGTGTTACTTAAAGGTGATTATAGAATACCTTGGAATTTATAATCCAGTCCACCTTTAGTAGAGTCATAGTCATCCACGACCCTGCGGTTCTTGGTAGAGTCTGCATCATCAATGGCCAATTGCTGTTCATACAAAGAGCTTCTAATTGATTCCCTTTCTTTTTCATTCCTCTCTCTTTCTGCTACTGACTTTAGCAGATTCAAGTCATCAGCAAAGGAATAATTCCTGAACTCTGGCTTATTTTCTGGAAAATATATCACACAACATATTTTTTTTTACCTCTTTGAATGCCATTATGAAAAAAAGAAAAAAACAACAACACACTATAAAACCAGGAAAGAAATGTTTTACCTGTGGGAACTATTTTCCTATTCTTGTCTGCCTCAGCTTCGGCAATCTGACATATGAAAATAAAATAAATTAAAACAACAACAACAACAAACAGAGGCAGAAGGAATAAATACACTAAAACATATGATCTCTTACTTCATTATTACCAGCAAAAGCCTTAATCCCTGATCTTTGTTCTTAGTGTGAAGTTTGCCTTAATAATTGGAACATGTTTAAACTCTTGTCACTTTTCATCATTACCACCACATTCTCTGATCAGAATCAGACATTACAAGAAGCTGTAATAGACCTTTCATATAAGGACAAATACCAGTGATGTTTCCCTTCTTTAGCCCAAGCTCTCACTGTACTCCCTCCCTTAGGATCGCAACACAAAGGGGTTCCATGCATGTCAGCTGCCAGAGCTGATGACCTGCTTTGGGGATCTTGGAGAGTAAAACCCTATAAAGAATTTATTTAAAATTATTGAAACTTTATTTTGTACCTAAAGTACATCCGTATTTGCTTTCCTGATGAATCACTTTTTATGTCATTTGTTAAGCCATCAGGATATTCATGTATCTTGTATTTGAATGCTGAAAATATTATGAAAATACAAACCAAAAAAATATGTAAAATATTTTTTTATTTTACCTACCTGTTCCTCCAAAGGTCTTTCTACACTTAATTGTCTGTTGTGTATAGCTTTATCTAGAATTAAAAATATACACACACATATATTCAGTTACATGATGCACGTGACTCCAAAGAGGCAACACATTTCTTCTTAATTTGTAGTTTTGTCACATAAAACATGGTGCCTTAAATATGATGCTAACTGCAAGATTTTGTAAAAAAAAAATAAAAATCAGTTTTCCTAGGAGAATGGGGATTTTAAATGTCAAACATTTAAACAAAGCACGATTACTTGGGGCAGAGGGAGAGGTTCTGTGACGGACATATCAGAAATACAGACCCTCAGTAACCCCTTTCTGATGGGAAAACTCACAGATGAATTGGGTGGAAAGCGCTGCAAGAGATTGACTGAAATAGCAATAATCGGATTGGCACAGCCCAGAGATTAAGAATCCGTGACACCAGAATCCCAGGGGAGACAGAGAGCGGGAGAGGCCCGGCGGTGCTGCAGGGTGGCTGCACACAGCTCGGCACCAGCCCAGCCCAGCGCCCCTCCCGGGGCCGGCGCTGCTGCCCCCACTTGCAGCCAGGCCCCGAACCCGCTGTCAGAGCGCAACTCCAGGCACCCCCCGCCTTGCGCCAGGAACAGCAGGTCTATGGCATCCGCCTGCCTGTAGCCAAGCAGAGGGAAAGTTGCGGCTCTTCTCCCCGCACCCGCTGCCGAGCACCCCCCGCAGCCGGGGGGCCGAGAGCCTCACCTTTGCCCCCGGGTTTCGGGAAGCCGTGCCCGCGGCTGGCCATCAGCGACAGCACCTGCACCACCACGGCCAGCTTGAGGAACATCCTGCTGCTGCTGCTGCTGCTGCTGCTGCTGCTGCTGCTATTGCTGCTGCTGCTGCCCGGTGCTCGCGAAGGGCGAGCGCGGCTCGGGGCCGGGGCCGCTGCCGGGGGCTTCGCTGCCCGCCCCGCCCGGCCCCGCCCCCCGCCGCCAGGCCCCGCCCCCGGCCCCGCCCCCCGGGCGCTGTCCAGCGGCGCGGTGCTGAAGCGGTGGCGGCCGGGCGGAGCCGCCCCGGGACGGAGGGAGGGGCGCGGGAGGACCGCGGCCGGCCGCGCATGCGCGTTCCGCAGCGCCCCCTGGGCAGCGCGGGGAGCCCCGCGGCCTGGCCGGGCCGCCCTGAGGCGTGAGGGCGGCCCCGGGGGGCCGGGCGGTGGCAGGGGGAGCGCGCTCAGGACTGCAGGGTCTGCTGCCTGGCTGGGAGCTGAACAACGGCGTATTCTTCCAAAAAAAGGGCCTTTTCCTCGGTAGCCATAACGGCAGGCGTGCAGGGGGCAGCTGGAAGCATTCCACCTCAAGACGTCTCAGAGCGCCACAGTGCGTGGTGTTGAGGCTGCTAAAAATACCGGCCAAAAGCTGGCGCTTTCAGTTTACACCTGAAAACCAAGAGTACAGCTTAACTGCTCAGTCTCTTACTAGTATATAAAGTTATTATAATAATATAGTAAGCTGGGAAAATAACATAAACCAGAAGAATAATTACTTGTCCGATAAGCACCAGAAAATACTGCAATTCCTTTATTTCCCACGTTAGCAATCACTAAATACTTAACGCTTTTCATATCATTGACATTAAATAATGATAACATTGGAAGCTCTAGGTTACATCAGACTTGCTTTTTAAAAATAATCTGCCAGTGATCCACAGATCCAGAGAAAATGAAAGAACTTTCAGTAATACACAGAGACCCCCCAAATCCTCACCTATCGCATAGCTCCTATTCTTGGAGCCTGTACCAGGGCTATTTTAGACAACTTTTCAAGCATGGTTGTATGTAAAAAAAGTTGTATCTAAAACCATTTTGCATACAACTATGTTTCTATGATAAATGCTTCTATTAATGTGAAATATTTCCTATATTATTTCCTAATTCCATACGGGTTGTTTCCCTGGAGCTAAATGACTTCCAGCTTTGCTGGGCCTCCCTGGCAAGAACTGTTGGAGGACTCCGTCTCTGGGAGTGATGGAGGAGAGAAAGGAACTCAAAACCTGTCCTTACTGAAAGAGAGTAAGACTTCAGAGACAGAAAGACTTCAGCAGCCACTCTAGTTCTTGAAACTGTAGGTGAGAAAGCATGCCAGGAAAGCCGAGCCTAAATTTTCAGGCACAAATCGGTTCCATGTTCAGGTCAGGCAACAAGGACCGTACCCAGGGACAAGGCACTCACAGGCATGCCTGCAGCGGGCAGGCACCGAGCGCACCTGCAGTGCCGGGGTCTGCTTCTGTGCGTTTGACTCCATGCTCCTTACTAGTGCCCTGGGGAGCTTGTGTGACACGTGACAGCATATCGTCTCTGCTAATTGCAAGAAAATCTGTTTAATCATCATAGAAAATGACTGGGGGAAAGTGCTGCCTTTGTTTCTCACTACATCTCTGTTTTCATTTGGCATCATTTACATCATATACTATTACACACTCCTCTTCACAGTGCAGAGACAATCCAAAGAGCATAAGCTCTTCTATTTTGGAGTCTATTTTGGCTCCTGCAGAATCAACCCATTTTCTATTCTAGAACTATGTATTTCCAGTAATGATTCATGAGCCAGGAAGAATACCGCTTGCCTATCAGATGCCAAGGAGAACTTACAGGAATGGCAATTAGAGTGCTTTTTTACTGTGGTGAAGGCAGTTGATAGAGATCCTAGAAAAATGACTGAAATGCAGCCTCTCAGTGCTATTTTAGCAGTTGTTTTATAACCACACTTCAAGGTTTTTCATCTAGCTGACGAAAACAGAAAGGAGATGAAAGCAGAAGAAAACCTAACAACAAAACCTCACCTTGCCAAGTTGATGCCTAGATGATAAAATTCTCATACTTCAGTGAATTTGCTTTCTTTGCATCAGCTCATATTATGCTACACAATAAGCTAAAGATTCTGTAGCCTAAAAAGAAACAAAGAATGTTGGAAAAGCAGTACTGGGGACTCTTTATGTAAGGCATTAGAAATATCTCTAACCATCTGACAGTAAGTCACGTATTTTGCACATATGCGTGCTCTATGAATAGTCCTGTTCGTTTCAATGCCATCATCAACACTACGAGAAATTAATGACGCAGAAGCCTGAGGGCTTGTGTGCTAGAAGTCATCCTCCAGAAAGTGTTTATTTGTATCCCACCGCAGGTGATCAGGACTCCGGGCCTTAGTGCGGTGCTAAGCACCGAGCTGGGGACCTCACAGCACTGATCCAAGCTCCAGCACCTTCACCTGCAGCCCCTCCCAGCTTGCTGCGCTCACAGGTTTGGTGCTCACGGCTGAGGAGGTTTTTCAGCTTCTGTGGGACAGCACTCCGGCTTTGCATGAGTGACTCTTCGATGAGATACCCGTAGCCAATGCATTTCTTAAAACAAACAAAACCTTTAAAAACTACCAGTACAAATCTTTTAACTCGGCTTCATGGAAATGCCGTAATCTAACACTTGTAAAGCTTCTGCCCTCAGCCTGCCCCTGCCCGGCTGTTTTTCCTGGCTCCCACCACCAGGCGGTTCCTTTACCAGCCGCGCGTTGGGGACGGAGAAATTTTTTCTGCATTTGTTTCTTTCTCCAGAGATTTTTCCTTTGTCGTTTGACCACCTCAGCTTCTCCCTCCCCGCTGCTAGAAGAAAAACCCCTCCCACCACCGCCCCCGCCAAAGCACCACCGTTGGGCTGAGACAAAAACCGAGGCCAATTGGAGCGAATTTCGCTCCGCCGCGCGCCTCGCACGGGAAAGGGGCGGGGCCTCCCCTCAGGGCCCGCGGCCGCGAGCCCCGCCCGCCGCGAGCCCTTCCCGCCCAGCGCCGTTCCCGCCCGCCGCCGGCCCCGCCCGCCGCGCCCCTCCCGGCGCAGCGCCCCCTGGCGGCTCCGCGCCCGGAAGCGGGCTCCGAGGCGGGCGTGGCGTGGCGGCGGGCCGGGCCCTGGCTTCCTGGCGGCGCGCGGCGCCATGAGCGAGGTTGTGGAGCGCACGCTGAGCGCGCTGCCCGCCCTGCTGGGCCCGCAGCACCCCGCGGGGCCCGGCCCCGGCCGCCCGTCGGCCGGCTCGCGGCTCGGCAGCCTGATCAGGAGCATCACGGCGCTCGGCTCCAAGCACGTACGCGCCGGGGCCTGCCTCCCTGCTCCTCCCCGCTCCTCCCCTCGCGCCCCGCAAGGGCCTCGCGTCCCCGGGGCCGCGGCTGGGGGGGCTCCGAGCCCGCTGGGTGCCCCCGCGCGGGGCTGGGTGTCCGCAGCGCTGCGGCGGGGAGCGGGGCTGTGCCCGCGGTGCTGGGCAGCCCGCCAGATCCGAGTAACCAGTAGTTGCTTCGTGTCTCGCCTCCAGAGCCGCGCACGATTTAAAGTCAGGTTAATTTCTTTTCCCAGGAAGAAGAAAAGCTCATCCAGCAGGAGATAGCCAGTTTGAAAGCCATGGTTTCTGCCCCCACCACTACGCTTGTAAGTCCTGTTAGTCTGCAGGAGCAGCAGGCACAAAGTGAAGGGAGCAGCGTGCCCCACTCTTTTTGCCTACTGAACGCGGTATCTGCAGCATAGACACGTAATCATCACCAGTTAAAAAGTACAGATGTCAGTGTATGTGGAGCCTGGTTAAAATAGTGAGGGTACTGTCCTGATCTCTATTAACAAACTGGGACAATATCGTATTCAGAGTCCAGTCATACTGTGCTCTCAAATAATGTAGGAAAAAAGTTGTGTGACGAAGTATTTCTATCAAATAGTGTTCTCTGCAGTCTGACGTTGTTATTATAATTAATTTCTGCAATGTAAGAAGCTGTGCTTTGTCATATGTTCTCGTCTGAGTTGTAGGACTTGATGTATATGTCTGGCTTGGGTTAATTAGTGCAGATCTGAAGGGGAAAATAAAGTCTTAACCTCATATATATGTGATAACCCATTCTAGGTCAGCGTAGCGACTGGTTAAAGATTGCGTTAATAGTGTGATATCTAACGCTTGAGATTACTTCATAATATTTTTTAAATTACTAATTTGGTGTTGATTATATGTATGGTAATCAAAATTAGATAACAACTTTGAGGGACCTATATGGAGAGTTCTGCTGTTGTGGTCAAAAATCATTATTGATTCACAAAAGAATGTTCATAACAACAAAAAAATCAGAAGCACTCTGATTTCGTGTATGTATATAAAGGAAATTTCTATGAACCTGCATGTATTGCTGTCAAACTCCTCTACTCCATTAGAGCAGTGAAAAAGCACGTGAAACAAGGCTGACGGGAAAGCTTCAATAATTTATTTTTGGTATTTCAGAGACTGATGAAAGAATGTATGGTGAGACTCATCTATTGTGAAATGCTGGGATACGAGTCTTCCTTTGGATATATCCATGCAATCAAGCTTGCACAGCAAGGAAATCTTTTGGAGAAAAGAGTTGGTATGTGTATGCGGTTGTAGCCCTGTCATATTTTCAGACAGCGTTCTTAAAGCTTCGTAGAACTTGTAACGCATGTAAAAATACAGCTTATTCAAAGTGTTCTTCTACTTCAAGATCTCATTTTGTAGTCTTTCCTCTTTTTGAAAATAACCAAGTCCCTAGTTTGTGAACTTTTAGAACAGAAGGCAAGGGAAAATATTTTAAGTCATCAGTTGTTCTTTCAGTGTTTTTGAAATGCAGCACTAATAAACAAGTAATTTGCAAGAAATACAATTAAAAACTAAATCCAAGCTGAATATGAGTTTCTGTCAGGATCTTACTTTGTTTTGAGCATTAGAATACAAAGTTAGAAGAAACTGTTGATGTCAGACAATTACCGCAAGCACAGCACTGGTTTTCCAGCATTTAACTTGCAGATATTTCTTTAGAATTTTTGTAATGAGCTTAAGGCCACGCTGCTAACAGCAATAAATGAAATATTTATATCTGTTTTGGTGATTGTAATGTTCTGTAAGAAATGAGTCAAATGGGGAGATCCTTAGAGCATAGGTGTA